TAGAGGTTTAATAGACAAATTACACGATAACCTTCCTCTCGTGGCGCGAACTTTGCGGACCCGAAATTTGCGGAACGAAAGTTGCGGACCCGAAAGTTGCGGACCCGAAGGTTGCGGACACGAAGTTTGCGGACCTGATTTTTGCGGAACCAAGATTTTAGGACCGACACTTGAGTAAAAAGGAAAAATTAAATATTTTATTTTTCGATGATTCCGGCAGAGTTTACCATGATCCGTACCAGACTCAAAATTTTTTCTCGATTTTTCAAAATTTTATCAATTTATTATCTTAAAATTATTTCATAATTTAAATAATCGAGAAAATTCCTTAAGGAAGTCATTTATATGGCCATCTCATAAGGTCATGATGCCTAAATTCATCCTAATTAACGCCGCAGACTAAAATTTTTGAGATTTCCGAGATTCAGTAGACTCTATTGTCGGTCCGCAAATTTTTGGTCCGCAAATCTCAGATCCGCAAAATTCGGGTCCGCATAGTTCGGGTCCGCAAAATTCGGGTCCGTTAAGTTCGGGTCCGCAAATTAAAATCCGCAAATTTCGGCGCGCCCCTTCCTCTATAAACAAAAGAAATGAAAAATCCGCAAATTTTGTAAAAACTTTTTTTTTAATTTAGAATATAAGAACAAAATTTTTCTAATTTTAGTATTCAACAAATTCAATTATTGGGGCGTAATATGCGAGGTATAAATTTTTTATGACTCATAACTAAAGAAAATATTAAAAAAATAAATTTCAAAAATTTGCGGATTGTCCGCAAAAAATTTGCGGACAATTTTAAAAAAATTTTGCGGACTTTTGAAGAGGACTTCTTTGAGGGCACTTTTCTTAATTTTAAAATTTTCTTTGTTTTTCTAGGTTCTCAATACGATAGTCTTTGGAATCGTTTAGAATCTGAAATTCATTTGAATAGACACAAAACTTTTGTTAAGACTTGCTAGTAAATTAAAAAAAAATTTTTTTTCAAAAAAAATTTCTTTAAGCGTTCCAGACGTTAAAGATTTTTTGAGGCAACAAAAGCCATCAACTTCAAAAAATAAAAATTCTTCTCTCCATTCCAATAAAAAATGCTTGCCAATATTCCCCCTTATGTCGCCTTGTTCCCCCTCGTCTTCTAATAATTCTGAGACTTCTACATGCAATAGTTTGTGTGAACAGCATTTTGAAAGGGTGAATTTTTTAAATTAATTTTTAATTAGTTTTTAAAATTTTCCTAAATTTAAAAAAATTTTTAATTTTTTTGCGGCACAGTTTTGCGGACAAAAAAAATCCGCAACTTTTTTGCGGACAAAAAAAATCTGCAATTTTTGTCCGCAAATTTTTTATTCAATTTTTCAATAAAACAACTTTCTTCTCCTTTTTTATTTGCCTAAAAAGTTTGTTTTTAAATAAAATCGGGCCTCCCTTTAAGAAAATTGGAGCGGAAGAATCAGTTATTCTCTGAAAAAAATTATTTTGATACTTGCGGACAAAAGTTGCGGACATTCTCGAACTCCCTTGGAATTCTAACTCTGGATACTACCTTTTTTATTTATTTTATTACCAAATTACTATACATTTAGAGTGCTTTTTTCATATTTTAATAAATTTCAAATTTTGTCCGCAAAAAGTGTCCGCAAATTTTATTTGTCCGCAAAAATTGTCCGCAAATTTTAAAATCCATTTTTAGCCTATCAACAAAACTTTAAAAGAAATTAATTCTTGTTCTCCATCATCTTCTGTCTCTTACGAATCGGCTACAGATGAGTGTAATAATAGCAGTAATATTAAGCTGTGTTTAGAGGAATCTTTAAATGTTAGAGAGGAAGTTAATGGCAAATAATTAGGGTAAATAGGAAGTAGGGGAAATTATTTAAAAATAATTTAGTGACCTTATAGTATATTCGATAATAATTAATTTTTATATTTATTTTTTGTTTTTTAAATTATTTTTAATTTTTCTGCCTTTTAATTGTGCCACTTATTATTATAATAAAATATTATTTTGCGGGATTTTGGTGGGTTTTTCATCTTTTAATCACCCAACTAGCATTAAAAAAAATTCTAGAGGTTCATAATTCACCATATTTTTATTTTACAAATTTGAATATTCTAAAAGCAAAAACAAGTCAGTTATCGACAAATAGAGTCGAACCGGAGACCTCCAAAATTTGTTATGTAGTTCTCCGGTAACTCCTGTAAACCACTTAACCATGGAGTCCCACTATACTATGTGTTAGAGCCTGGACCGATACGATATTTTTTGATATTCGGTTTCGATATTTATCGAAAAATACAGACCGACCTCTCCGTCTGGGCTCTACTATGGGGACCAAATCCGTGCCGGACAAAGCTTCTACATGTTTTACCCAGGGAAATCAACGCTTTTGTTTAAATAAGTTGATAAAAATAAGCCTGTCTCTAGTCCCTTCTAGGAATTCTTCCAATGATTTTCCAGTTTACAAAATTTATTTTAAAATTTGCTAAAAAATTATTTTAAAAATTAAAAAAAATTTATTTTAATTTTAAAATAATTGTCTTTACCCAAATTCTTCCAAGAAAATAAATTTTAGATCTTCAAATAAAGCTTTCGTCCCTCTTTCCAAGAAAAAAATGATGAGGACCTCAAGGGAATTTCTTAAAACAACAGACTGGTTGTGAGGAAGGGCACTCATAAATACACTCAATGGCCCACTTTTCAAGAGTCTTTTCCTTTTTGATTGGCCTTTTTTAATTTTTTTTAAAATATTTTTGGTAATTTTTATTGAATATTTTTTATCTCAATTTATTAAAAATAAATGTCTTGTGTCTTTGTAAAGTAAACCTCTATTTAATGCACCCCCTCTATAAGGGACAACTTTTCTATAAGACATCCCTATTTTTTACAGTCTCATATCTTGTATTTAAAAAGAGTTGCTTCGCTTTTATTTTTCTCTATGACATTTAAATAGGGTAGCACCCCGTCCCCGACAAATTTTTAGACAAAAGGTCCCAACTCGAACCCTGAAGACTATCCCGTCAACCCACGATCCCCGACACCCACCCCCGTGTGGGCAAAACCCCGACCCGACCTTCGAAACCCCGCCCTCGAAACCCCGACCCCAACGTTTTCGTCCCCGAAGATCGGGGCGCTACCTTACTTTTACACATATTGGATTTTGATATGCACCATAAAACATCTACATATATTGTTTTTTAAAAACAAACATATCCATTTTTGTTTATTTTAAAAGAGTTAAAAAGCAACTTCCCTCATTTTCCTCCTCTTTACTCGTGTGAATTAACACACTATTATAACATAGCTTTTTTGGTTAAAGTCTCACTTTCAAAGAAATATGTATTTTCCCTTTTTTTAACCCAAAACTGCCAAAAAACTGCCAAAAAATCTTTTTTTGTTTGTTTTTATTCATTGCCTTTCCATTTTTTCCTAATGTCAAGCAACAACTTTCAAAAAAATTTTTGGAAGGACAAAAGTAAAAAAATAGGGAGGGCAGAGTTTGAGTAATTATTCATTTTAAAAGGACAATTGAAAATACTCTAGGGATTATTTTCTGTTTATTTTACTGAAAATTTTAATTTTTAATAATATACAGCCATTGCTAATTTTTAAACGCATTTTGCCATTTTTCATTGTTTTGAATAGGGTTGTTCCCCGACGCGGGGGAAGGCCACGGGGAACAATTTTCGGGGAGGGAGCCATGGGGGGACGGGGAAACCTTTTTTACGTGGGGAGACGGAGACGGGGAGTTTTCAAAAAAATCTCTCAAATTTCCCAACTTACGGGGACTGTGAACAACTCTAGTTTTGAAGATCATTAAATTTCGGGATATTTGCGTAAATTATTACTTAACAAAACGCTAGGAATTAGAATTACCCTTTCCTCAAAATTTTAGAAAAATTTTTGAATGTTAGAAAATCATTAGGAAAAGGTCAATGTCGCGCTAGATGTGATAATTAATCGTGAGTAATTATTTAAGATAAAATTTTAACATATTTTTTCCTGTGTTTTCAGTTACAGAAAAATTTGTTCATATTTCCTAAGTCAAATTAATCTTTCGATTTTTGTTCAAAAATATTTTTTAATTTATATTTAGTTAATTTATTTTAAGGATATAATTTCAATCGTTTAATTTATTTATTAATATTTTTGCCATAAAAATTTATTATTAAAAAATAAAATGACCATGGAGGATTTATCCCCAACAAATTCGCATCTTTTAAGAACTACCTTTAGAGATGCTGAAAATAGTTTCACAAAAGCTTCAACATTTCATTCTAACCTACCTTCCCCCGAATGGTTTGAAACTTTGGAGAATGAATTTGACAAAGCTTTTGTTGATTTGGATGTGCTGATTGGGGAAGTTGAACAGGAAAATGTGAAAAGAATTTTTTGAAAATTTAAAATAAAATAATTCTATAGCAGTCCGAATTAATTTTTGAATGCCGTAGGCGTTTAACGCTTATTAGTGGTGTGTTTGCCAAATTTGCTCAAAAAGTTCAAGTTATTTGCCAACAAAATTACGACTTTAAGGTAGCTAAGGGAATTTATTTGGAGGTAAACATTGACAGGAGAAAGCACCTTTCTATCTATTTGAACACAATCGGACCTTACTTTTAGCTACTACTAGAGAGGTGCTTTAAGATTTGATTGCCCGCTGGGCCCTATAAGATGCAAGCAAAACTATATACCCTTCTATTTAATAAACATGCTTTTAGATTGGTTGGTCATTGGGTAAGGGCGTTCGTTCAAGAGATACCCTCAGTTTAAAGTACCCTTATTATAAGATACGGACTTTACTATAAGATCCAAGCAGAACTAGATACATCCCTATTTAATAAACATGTTTTAAGTTAGTTGTCTGGGTAAGGGCCTTCAAGGGATCTCTCAATTTAAGATACGCCCCAATAAAAGGTAGAAATTTTTCAACCTCAAGGGGTATCTTATAGTGATCTTCGAGTATTTTAAGTTTATTTTCTGGGTCGGAATGTAGTTTAGTCTAAGGATGATTAGCCTAATATTAGTTTCTCCTCTCATCCATAATCCATTAAAGCTTAAAATTTCCAAAAATTTCTTTTTAAAGAAAGACCTTCAAAATTCCAACAATAAATTAATTGGAGTATTAGCCACAAATTCCTTATTAGAAGAACAGTCAGAACAACTTCTTTTGCGTGTTCATTCACTTTCATGTCAACTTTACTCAAAAACAGCTCCACACGAATCAGAAATTATTAGAAAGAAATTGGTTGGAAAAATAAAATTTTTTTTGAAAAAAATTTTTAATTAAAAAAAAGGATAAAGAAATGAGAATGTTTAACACAAAAAATTTACCAATTACAAAATCACAGGCTGAAATTTCTTTATTAAAAGAAGAAAATCTTAAATTAAAAAGTCTTCTAAATTCGGTTCATTCCGAAATTTATGGAGCTCGTTTAGCTGCAAAATATTTGGATAAAGAATTAGCTGGACGGATTCAGCAAATTCAATTGCTTGGTCGCAATATGAGAGGTACTCTAAACATGTTAAGGATTTCGAACCGGGGATATCTAATTCTAAAGGTATCATCTTGTTCTGAGGATCAGAGTTCGTTTGGAATTCCAACTCCCGGTTTCCGAAAATTTAGGAAACTTTCCGAGTTCTGCTTTTGAGCCATTTCCGATTTCCGACAGTTCTGATTTCCGGCACCTTTGTCATTCCCATCTACCTCTGCTGAGGATATTTAAAAGCAAAGGCCTTGAGTCCGATCTCATTTTGTTAGAATAGGCAATGCTTTCTTAACTCAATCGAGCGACGACCGGCATCTAATTAGATAGGACTGAGACGATATCTCAAACAAAATCAGTTATTTCTTATAAAGATAAAGTATTGGCCTCACTCACATGATTAATTCATTATGAATTTTTTAAGGAGCTCAGCATGATCGTCTTTGGAATCAATTAGAAGCTGAGATTCATCTTAATAGACACAAGACAGTTATTAAAGCTTGTCGGTAATTTGTGATACTATTTTTATATTTACTTGGATATCTAAGTGTGGTCGATGTGAACAACATTGTGAGACGGAAAAATTTTAATGAAGTATCTAAGACCGAACCTTTCATTTTCCAAATATTTTTTAGAATCCCAAAGCCTCTCCTTCCGTCTATTTTGACAAAAGGGGCGTCGGAAAGACTCGACGCATTCATCTCCATTTGGAAGATAACGAAGGCCTGGGTATTTCTATTACGGGAGGAAAAGAGCATGGAGTCCCTATTATTATTTCTGAATTACATTCTGGGCAAGCTGCAGAATCAAGTGGAAATTTGTTTGTTGGAGATGCTTTACTTTCTGTTAATGGAAAAAGTCTTAATAATTTGAAGCATTCACAAGCTGTGAAAATTTTAAATAAAGAGGTGATTTTGAAAGTTAAACGTTTATCAGGCCGACTTTACTGACTGACATTTACTACAAACAAAAATAGAGTTAAACATAAATAGATGGCCGTTGAATTTTATCTAGTGTTCTGCACAGCTTGGTGCAACGATACTGACAGCACCACAAGAAGCGCGGGGTTTGGCGACTCCCATAGGTTTGGTTGACCATTTCGAGCCTCTTTTGATCTTGCAAATAAATGAGTCAGTACTAGTAGGATACTCAGTACTAGTAGGTAACGATACTTTTTGGCACTTTTCGGTACTAACGGTAACGAAAAAATCCATTTACCGACAATAGTTTTATCGGGTATCTCAGTCTACCATATCTAATTATTTTTTGTGGTATAGTACTCCTCAATAGCTATAAAATAAAGCATTTTTTAATCCATTCTCTAAAAGATGAGGGAATGCAATGAAATCTTGCTTGAAGTGATATTAATAAAACCTGATTTTGATAGCGATGATGGGCTAGACGATATTACAGAAACTTTAAGGCAAGATTATAATTAAAGTTTATTAATTGTTAGATTAGTTTGAAAGGTGATCAACTAACTGATGATATTATTAAATCTAATAAAAAACATAACTTAACGGGCTTCAATTCACCTTCATCTTCCTCCTCTAATTTTATTAAATACAATAATTTTTGTGAAAAGAAACCTCAGGTCAATATTAAACTAAATTTTGGCAGTAAGAGAAATAATTATGAAAAGTATTCTGATATAGGACCGGTTACCCATAATCAGTAAATTTTATAAGCTAATGAAAGACAGCTAGAGGGAGAGTAGACAATAGAGATCGAGATTTTTGAAAAGCCTGGACCTGGGACTCTGGAGTTTGATTCTTGACCTGGATTGGATCCTGGGCCTGTTGTCCAGGAAGGAAAACCCCAGGAAGGGTAAAAAATGCCTGGACCTGGACTCTGGGTACAGGAAAAACCCAGGCCTTGGTCCAGGTCCAGCTTCATCACGAGTGGACAACTGAGAGCGCATTGAGTCCAATCAACTTTTCAATGAGACAGTCATCCCTCAATCAGTCTTATCACTCATTTAATCGCTCTAAAATAGTTAGGTTTATCTCTCATTTGCCACCGATTCTCAACTCCACGATTTAGGCTCTATTATACGACTAGGGATGGCGTTCAGACACTTTCCTAATAGCTCCTTAAAATTCAATTTTTAGCAATCCAAAACAAAATTTCCACAATCATCCTGCTCGGTTTCATCATTATCTTGTGATTCATCAACATATGAATCTGCTAGTGGTGAATGTACTAGTGACGTTAAACTTAACCAGACTGGATTTTTAATCGAAGAATTAAAGGTTAATGACAAAAATATGTCATTATCTAAGTTTGATAATTATAATGATGCTTTTGTTTAAATGTTTAATTTAATTTTATGTATGTATTAATTATTTGAAGTATTCAGAAAAAATTTTTTCCAAATTAATTAGATTCCTTTTGAGTGAATAGACTAAACTTCACTCATTAAGTGAGACAATGCCATTAAACAATATTTTGAAGGTTTATCTTCTTGAATCAGAATAGGTCAGAATCTGAGTTCAAAAGATGGAGATATGATAATATTTTACAGATATCCCTAGGTCCGAAATTGACGAATACCTCGCAAAATTTTTAAATATTGTCAATTTCGGACCTATGAATATCTATAAAATACTATCATAACTCCTTTTTTGAACTCAGCATAGGTCAAAACCTATTCTGATTTAAAAAGATGAAAACTCTCAAAAAATTGTTTTCCAAAAAATGAGAAATTTCTTTTGAGTGAATAGACTAACATTCACTCATTGAGTGAGGCAATATCATTTTAAGCTTGTTTATAGATCCAGCACTTTAGTTATTATAATTAATATAATATTATTTTTAATATAAATTATAATAATTTTTTTTATATTAGTCTTAATTAAATCATGTAGCCTCAATAATTAAAATAACACAACTTTCTAACTAATTTATCACAAGAGTAGTTTAAATGACAGCAAAAATGTGTAAATTAAAAGAGAATAAGAATTCAGAAAATTAAAAACTAATACAAATTGTGCTAGAAAGAATAAAAATTATAGTGACATTGGAACTTGTTTACTCTAGATTAGTTCATGACTTTCACCAGGAGTGGGCCGTGAACGTTAAACCAAGAATTTTACGTGTTACCAATCAAATAAAAATTTAAAAAGTATAGAAAGATGACAGAATGTTAAAAGATTGAAATGAAATTTGTATTATGACAAAACTTTAAAAATGGGCATAGTAAATGTAAAAATAACCCCTTGGTAGTTAACTTGCCGGTTATACTATACTTGCTCTGACTAGAGAGGTTCTAATAAGAATAAGGGGAATAAAAGTTCCTTAACAAAAAATCCCTAATTGACTTTAGAAGTTTTTCCAGTTTTTATTTCAAATTTTGCTTGTAAAACTGAACTATTCGCTGAAGTAGCTAATTGTATCCATAGCTAAACCTAACCATAGCGAAACCTACCTACTATATTTATTTAAGTTTTGTCATAATTTTGGAAAAAGTCAGCAATATCTAGAGTTAAGATCGGGACCGGATACGGGTCGGGATTTTTGGGATCCGGTATTCCTGATACGAGTATTTTGATAAAAATCGGGGATTTCGGGATTTTGATCCCGAAAATCCGGTCCGGATAAAAAATTCAGAACTCTAGTAATATCTACTCTTGTCGTTTTGTTTCCAAGCTAGCATAACTCATCAAATATGTTTCTCGCATCCTGGTGTATACCTTTATTAAATATATAAATTAATATAAAAGTATCTTAATATTTTGGTTCCTACTTCAATTGCCTGAACCAGATCCACGATGTCCAGCTCCGAGACGCTGTCCACGATGGCTCTGAGCAGGTTGCCATTGTACACGATGGCTCTGATCAGGTTGCCCTTGTCCATGATGGCCTTGTTCGGTTGTTCCCGCACCTATAATAAATATGTTAATCAAAAAAATAATTTTTTAAATTCTGGTTTATTAAAAAACAATTGGTTCTGCTCGTTATATAATAAAACTGCCATATATAGACATATCACAATTAAAATGTAAATCTATTTTTAATTTAAACTTCCGGTTGAGGATTGCACTGGAATATAGTACATTAAAGTCAATTACCGAAATTTCTATTGACATAGTTATATAATCCTTGCATTTTTTCTAAAGCTTCGTTTTGATTTCTTTTGCACCCACGAAGAACCTTTTCATATTGCTCTATTTCTTTTTGAATCATGTCTGTGTCGTAGTCAGGATTGTTCTAACAAAATAGAAATTAAACTTATATAAGTAATTGGATAAAATCATTTTCATCACTCTATTATTTAGTTAAATCTCGGCTTTTTCAACTCTCGATAAGGAAAGTTTAAATGTTTATATAGTACATAATAACAATTTTCATTGCCAAATAAAATATGTTTTATGTAAAAAATGTTATTTTTACTTGATTTTGTTTTAGTCCATTTTTACAATGATTTAAATAGAGTTCGTGGTTATCGTATTCCGTTGAAAAATACTCATATTGTTTTACATGATCTCCATATTGTTCTTTAAAAATGGCGTGTTGCGAGGGTGAAATGTCTTTTATAGTTAAATAAAATATTTTTATAAATTTAAATAAAATTACCAACACGTTCAAGCAAAGAACTAATTTGTGCCTTCAAGTGATTGAAAGCCTAATAAAAATATTTATATATTTGTTTTTACAATAATGATACTAACCATATGTTTTGCTGGTTCTTGCGATCCTGAGCCTTCTCCTGGATTCATTCCAAACAGTAATGGAAACAATTGAAGAAAATAAAAATTTAAAAGAATTAAATTGTAAATTTTCATCTTTAATTATATTTTAAAATTTATGTAAATTAATTTCGATTTAAAATATATTTTTTATACTTGTGTTTTTATATTTAAATGTTCAGATTTAAGTTTGCTATATCGAATTTAAATATATGTAGCACTAATAAAATCTTTAGTTTTAATTAAAATAATCTCTTTAATTTTAATATAAACAATATGTTGTATTCTTTGACAGGCTTGGTTGTCTAAGCTTGTCTTAGTATTCTTACTGAGGAAAAATTGCAGAGAATTAAACACTGTTTGTTAGTCTGGAAAGAAGATTAATAGGCTGCTCGAATGTTTATTGAGGAATAAATCTCTCCTTTTATCACAATCAGCTGCGCGCGTCAACACTGCTCATTTTTAATTTTTAACCCTATAAATCGAAATTTCGAAAAAATTGAATCGAAATTTCGAATTTATATCTTAGAGCAAATAGACTCATGATTAATTGTTCTCTCCTCTGTAAAAAAATTTAAAAATTTATTTAAGTAGTTTGTATTAAAGGGCATTCTTAGCCTTTCCTTTTTTACTGTCTATTTCCGCTGTTTAATTTTTTAATGTATATTTTGCAAAAAATATTTTAAAATTAAAATTTATATTTAATAAATTTTGAATAATGTTTCCATTAATCATGTACAAAGTTTAATAAACAGAAATAGCTATATAAATATGCTTAAACTGCTAAACTTTTATTGAGAACCTGATATTCGAGGATATTCATTTATTAAAGTGCAATCAGTCAATATTATGAAATATATGGCCTCATTAATTGAATGACCCTTCTTTGGGGTTCAGGATCTCAACTATATCGGTAGAGATCCTGATCCGTTTAACCTTAATTTGGAGTCTCACGGAACTTCATAAAAAATTTTCATTAAATTTATTCGAATACTAAATTTAAAATTAAAAAAGACTAAACAGTAAATTTTACATTAAATAAAAATTTTGGAATGAAAACTCCGAAAAATATTCATTGGGGTTCTTATAATTATGGAACAAACTCTTCTTCCTTCTTCATTGTTCACCACCTTTAAATGTTCACCACTTTTCTATAAATTTGTTCTTTTGATAATTATCATAACTATCAATTTCACTTTCAAATAAAATTTTATCATAAAGCTTTTGAAGAAGTTTTGAATGTTTAATTAATTCTTTCTTCT